CTCTTTTCTCTGCTCTTGCATGTATATCGAAATGGAGTGCGGGGGATCAGGGGTTTAAAACATTTTATCATCACCAATCTAAAAATTTTGGAAAAACTAAACCAAAAATCGCAGGAAATTATCCCAAGAATTGAAATATATTCTTCAAGAATTACAAAAAAAAGTTTTCAACTATTCTCTCGTGAATAATAATTTAAAACGTTTAAATATTATAATTGTCAATAAATAATAATATAATATATAATTAATTAGAAAATTATTATATTTTTTATAACTCAAGAATGTATTAAAGCCAATATTTACATTCATTAAATAATGATTTCAATAATTTTCAGAATTGTTGTTCTCCCCTGCATTATTCATATACTTTTTATATAAACGTGTTCGATGTTCACATAAATTATATATACAAATATAAATGTATATATATATATACATATATACATACATATATATTATATATATACATTTATGTATTTGAGTATATATTTATAGATATACAAATATGTATAAGTGCTTGTGGATTTGTATATTTGTATAATGAATACATCTGTTTTCGAAATTAGTTTATTTTCGTTTCAAATTGGACAAAATGTTTATATTATATATATATATATATAAAAATAGAAAAATTTATTCCATTCAACTGTTCGACACTTGATGTGTGTCATCATTCAGTAATCTAAAAAACATATTACATAAATACAAAAGTTGATAATAAATATAAATATATAAAAAGGAGAAAATTATACAAACCAAACCAGGAAAAATATGAGAAAAAAATAATTAATTATGTAAAATTTATTAAACACTAAATTTGTGTAAAAAAATTAATATACTAATATATTAATAACGAGGAATTAAAAGAGCACATATTGCCCTCCTATATTGTATGTATTCAATAGCGGTGCATTATAAACACTGATCAAGGTTATTTTTACATTATATATATATATATATATATATATATATATATATATATAAATATATTAACAAAGTCTAATAATCGGGCATAACATCAATAAAAAACATGAATTTCTTTCAAAAATTTATTTTAAATCCATACGTTTCGGCTATAATCCTAGCCTTCATTCAGTGGATACTAAAAATAAAATTAAAAACTGAAACAATTGAATTGGAGTGAAAAGAAAAAATAAAATAGTAAATAGTTAATGTTATATAACAAAAATGATTTGAAATAAGATTTTTAATATTTTATTGATTTCTAAATGCAAGTTTTAAAAAAAATATTTCACAATAATCAAATCATTACAATTAATAAGAATTCGCCGACATTTATAATTATGTTCAGAAATACAATGTTATAAATAGCAGATGTAATAATTAGTGCTGATGAAAATAATTAATTTTTTGCTCTTGTTATTGTCTACGTTATTTTTATATTTGTATACATATAATGTATATATATACATATATATATATATATATATATATATATATACGAGGTCTGTTCAAAAAGTACCCGGAATTTTCGTTTTTTCAAAAAAATATTTATTTATTCGTCTACATTAATGTGGTCCCCTTCAAAGTAGTCCCCCCCAGATATAATACACTTATGCCAGCGTTTTTTCCAATTTTCGAAGCACCCTTGATATTCACTTTTTGATATGTCCTTGAGCACTCTCAGCGATTCGGCCTTTATTTCTTCAATCGAGGAAAACCGCCGTCCTTTCATGGGTCTCTTCAACTTTGGGAATAGGAAAAAGTCACACGGAGCCATATCTGGTGAATTTTTGCACTTTGCAACACTTTATTTCATTTTTTACGCAAAATTTAATACAAATTCTTTGACTTTTTCAATTCTTCCATTGTAAAAATCGCCAAGCTCAGAAAAACACGTCGAACCTTAGCGACCACCACAGACAAAGTAAACAGTGAATATAGCTGAAAATTTCATCATACTTTAGGGGCATGTATACCAACACAATAAAAAAAAAATTTTGACAATCAGACACTCCAGACCCGCGAAATTTAATTATTAGTAATTCCGGGTACTTTTTGAACACACCTCGTATATATATTTATATTTGTATGTATATATATAATAAAATCCGAATATATAATTAGTGATAATACCAAAATGTTCTGCTTTGTGAACATGATTGTTAATTAGCTCGGAATATTGATTTAATACAAATATATATGTATATGTATATATACATATAAATCAAATACAAATGTATATAAATGTATATATACACATATATAAATGTATATATATATATACACATAATAAACGTAACCGGTTTAACAGACTTTATAGTGAAAGTTTATATATGTATTATATATATATATATATATATATATATATATTTCTTGTAATAATTTGTTTTTAAAATACTTTTATATTTTTAATTTAATTTTATTATTTTATTTAATGTTAATTTTTATTTATTTAACACATTTCATTATTATTATTATTGTAACATTAATTATAAAAATTGTAACATTATTTTTTTACAAAGTGCTATTTCTTTCCTCCTTTTTGTTTATCGCTCCCGCTTTATTTTTTGCATTTTTTCTGTTTCCTCTTTTTTCTCTCTTGCTCTATCAATCTCTCTTTTATTTACTATTTCTTGTTATTGTTTTATTTTTAAATTATTTATTTTTCTTTTAATTTAAATTTATTATTTTATTTAATGTTTTATATATACATACTGTTCTTATAGCATAAACATTTTTATATTTTAATCAATTTTTGTTTGTTTTTTATTTTTATAACAATAATTGCAATAATTGTAATAATCAAAATATGATTATCTTTCTCTCTTTTATTATTTATTATTTTTTATATATTATTATTAACTTCCCGTAGGGTAAGTTATAGTAATCGTCCAAAAATCGAAATCAAAAATTTTTACATTTCTCGACGTTTTGAAGGTTTCTGAACATTTTGGCATACTTCAGAAAAAATGGATGTGTGTGTGTGTGTGTGTGTGTGTGTGTGTGTGTGTGTGTGTTTTGTATGTCCGCTTTTTTTCGTCCACGTTTTCGGGCGCACGGATCAACCGATTTGAATGGTTTAAAAAACATTCGATTCCTATTGATAGGGAGATGTGCTGATTAGTTTTTGGCAAAGGCAGGTCCAGCCGTTACGGAGATATGGAGCAAAGAGTGCAAAAAATAGAAAGCGAATTTTTGAGAGAACGGATCAACCGATTTGAATGGTTTAAAAAACACTCGATTCCTATTGATAGGGAGATGTGCTGATTAGTTTTTGGCAAAGGTAGGCCCAGAGGTTTCGGAGTTACAGAGCTAAATTAAAAAAAATGGCTGTTTTTGAGAGAACTAAGCGTCCGATTTAAATGATTCAAAGAACTTTCTGCTTTTTTCAACAAAACAATTGATTTTGGAAAAAAAAATTTTTGTTTCTAATTTTTTTTCAAAAAAATTTTTTTGTAATTTTGGACTAAAAATTCAAAAAATCGCCCAAGCTAAGCACAGTCTAAGCGCCACTCTGGTACAAATGTTTACCCAAGTGCGTTTAGACTGTTTGTGTACTGGAGCACTTTTCCAATTTTGTGAAAATTATTGAAAAATGTGAAAATGCCGCCAAGCTGAGCACAGTATAAGTGAAAATATCGCACAGAATTATTTGCAAATGCGTTTAGACTGTGACTATGCGGGAGCACTTTTTCAATTTTGTGGAAATTTGGCAACTATTTTTTTTTTTTGAAATTTGATTCGAAATGAAATGACGATTGTTAATGTTCTGGAGGTGATAAATTGATTTATTTATGATTAACTTTCCGTAGGGTAAGTTATAGTAATCGCACAAAAATCGAAAATGAAAATTTTTATATATCTTTACGTTTCAAAGGTTTCTGAATATATTGGCATACCTTAGAGAAAATTGATGTATGTGTGTGTACGGATACAAATTTTCGTCGACGATTTCGGGAATCGGGATGAAGCAATTTGAATAATTCAAAAACATTTTACTTGCATTATCAAGATGAAGATTTGATGAAATTTTTATGAATTAGGTCTAGCGGTTTCGGAGATCTAGTAAAAAAAGTAAAAAAAAATAACATTTGGCGGTCAACAATAATCATTAGACATTAGACATATGCACATCAAATTATCAGATATTTTATAGAGATTTTAACAATGAGTATACATTTTGTTAACATTCCTATGGGTTCCGTACCAATGCTTATGCGTTAGACAGCGACGCGGCGCTTACGCGCTTCGATATTTAGTCTCTATGCATTAAAGCAGTACAAAAAATTTCCAAAATATTTCAAAATAAATTTTTCAACAAAAACTTTTGTCAAAAATTTATATAGTTCCTCAAAAATCTATTTTTTTAGAGTAAATTTTTTTAAAAAATGTTAATCTTTTCAAAAAAAAAATAATTTTTGGTACGGGAAGTTCCAGCAATTTGCCTTAAGGCACGATGCCATGCGCCCCACTAGTTTATTAATCTTTTCTCCTTCTTTATTTTGCTATACTAGTTCTCACTTCCTTTTTTTTCTATATCTCTCTTTTTCTTTCACTCTATCTATTTATTTTACTCTATCTTTTTTATTTTTATCTTTCTTGCTCAATCTTTCTTTTCTCTCTTCTTTTTCTTTTACTCTAGTTCTCTCATTCTTTAATTCTTTTATTAATATTGTTATTTTGTTATATTTATTGTATTTATTATTATCTTTTACTTATTGTATTTATTCTACTTTATTGTTTTTCTAGTATTTTTATTTATCAGGAATTTCACTTATTTTACTTATTAATTGTATTATTATTATTATTTGCTTTTATTTTATATTAAATCAACATACTACGGAATTGTTCATTACTGTTACTAGATGTTAATTATTTGGCAGTTGTAACAAATATAGTAATTAAAAAAAAATCCCTTATAGTTAAAATAAACATATATGTATACATATATATATATATATATATATATATATATATAACTAGTCATTTACATTTATATTATTATTATATTAAAATTTTCTTTATTTCTTTTCCAGGATGAGGTCCTAGCAATATCCGAAAAGGTAGTCCTCCGTCTCGAAGACTTAGTAACATGGATGACAGCAGCCGAAGAGGTTCCATGGACCCGAGGCTTGCAAGCAGTGTGGTACCGTCACGGATTGGGGGGCCATCCTAGGTTATTGTTAAATAATAAAGATAACAACAATGAATGTATCAGTAAAACTGAAATCAAAGAGAACACTGAAAACGGTGGCGTCATCTGTGATCAGAAGATGGAAGTCGACGATAAAATCGGTTTGGATACCGGGTAAGAAAGTGAATGATACTAGTGCAATGGTATAATATATAACATATATATATATATATATATATATACTAGCTGACCCGGCAAACGCTGTTTTACCATAAAAATATTTTGCCTCTTTGCAGAAGTTCTTATAATATACCTGATATATTAATAACAATGTTTTATTTTTATTACACAAATTTCTTTACATTTCGATAATTAATTCCAACGAATCATAGTGTTTTGTTTATTTTAATTTTATTTATGTCAAATAGTGAAATATTTTTTAATCAATGAATAAATTAGATTTTAGTCTGAATCAACGCAGTGCCATTATCTGTATATATAATACTTTATATAAATATCAGATTTTTTACTTTTGCATTTAATTTAAAAATATTAAATGTCAATTTCATATATCCAATATGCACTAAATTTTTAAATGCCAAAATATTTCCTTTTTGGTTGAAATTTAATATAATATGATATAATTTATATCTATAATTTGATTGCCAATATTGCCTATAACATAACTTGGAATAATTAATTTATTTGTATCTTATTGAAGTCGTTAAAAATTCATTTTTTATGAACTGTCAGATTTTTTTTATGATTAATTTTAAATTCAATATGTCGCTTTTTTATTGTGATCTATAATGTTTTAATTACTTATCATATAAATTTTCGACTATAAATTGATATTCATACTATCCCTGAAACTAACATGGATAAAGTTCTGAGAAATCAGAGTCCATCTCTATAAAATGTTTGATTTTTGGCACTTTTATTAATTTTTTTTCAATTTTCGTACTGTAAAATAATGGATGATTATTTATCATAATTGTAATATTTACACTATAATTTTAGATGAGTATACTATCTATTTTGGCATAGCAATTAATTTTTTCTTTATTTGAGATCAAGTGAAACATAAATATATTTATTTGATATTTTTCCATAAATATCCGATTTATGACATTGTTTTCAATTACTTTTAATTTATTTTGAATTAGCGAATGTCAAAAAATATAATTAGAATATTCATTAAATATTGTATGTAAACACTATGTCATTTAATAAGTATTATTTATTACTTTGGTGCATGATATGGGTATGAATTTGTAATAAAATATATTCTTTCTGACAAATAGTTAAAAACTTGTTATAATTTTCAAAATTATTTAACATTTCATACTTCCAAAATTAATTCACTCGCATCATGGATTAGTGTAAATCAACGCAGTATCATTATCTAAATATACAATATTTTATATAAATATCAGATTTTTTACTTTTGCATTTAATTTAAATAGTTAATGTCAATTTCATATATCCAATATGCACTAAATTTATAAATGTCAAAATATTTCCTTTTTGGTCGAAAATGATAGTATTTATTTTACAATAATGTATTGTATCTATAATTTGTTTGGCAATATTGCCTATAACATAACTTGGAATAATTTATTTATTTGTTTCCTTCTGAAGTCGTTAAACATTTTTTTTTGTGAAATGTCAAATTTTTGTTTATGATTAATTTTAAATTCAATATGTCTTTGATCTATAAGGTTTTGATGAAGTTTTGGTTTCCGAAATAATTTGGTAAGCTAATCAAATAAATATAAATTGTAAATCTATTTATATAATTATTTTCATAAATATTGACAAATGACATTTAATTTTTTTTCATGTCAACATTTATTTTAATTTTTGCATTGATTTTTAATTAGATTTAAAACTATAAACAGTGATTTTGAATATAGGATTTCATCTAATTTGGATATAAATGTTGGATATATCTATATATGTATATGTTTTTGAAAAAATCAAATACTTTTTTCTCTTATTTTCCATAAATTTTGACATTTGTCATTTTAGTGTTTTGTTTTTTTTTAGTCATTTTCTGTCAAAATTTTTTGAAATTTATAAAAATTATATATTTATATTTTAAATTTGCTTTTCAAAATTTTCTATAACCTAAGTTGGATATATATGCACACGATGAGCCAATAAAATTTAAAATCGGTTTAGCAGTTTGGGCGTCCATCGCAAACCAACATCGTGACACGAGATTTATATATATATATATTTGTTTCAATTAACTTATTTAATTATGAAAAGAGCTATTAAAAACATACTGCCTTAAAAACATACTGGCATTAGTAAAGTGGTCCAAATGTATTGTTTCCTTATCCTTTTTCAGATTGGAGTTTGCTTCAGTAAAGTCTGAGTTTCCCCGAGATGACTTCGGGGTTGATATTGCCAAAAGAAACGAATCGACCAGGTATGTCGAGAAGATTGACAGAATGAGGATTGAGAATGAGTATGTAAAGACCAAATTGGAGGTTATGTACGAGGTTAAGGACTTTAAGGAGTTCAACGGGAAGAGGAATGTTATGTTGTCGCATTCCAAATTGGAGTTGGCTGATGTCGATAAGGAGAAGGAGAATCTGGGTAAGTAGACTAATAAAACAATATGAAATTTTCATGAAAAGTATTTGGATTATTAAATTTTCATAAACACTATTTTGTTTGAACCTTAGTATTCTTACTTCTTATTTAATTGCGATAGAGGAATAAAAACAGATAAATTATAGAGAGATAGAGATAGAAATAAGGAAATATGGCTAATAATTAATAATGAGATAATCCTAAATGCGACATATAATTAAATAGATAGATAAAGACAATTTAATAAAAAGAATATAGTTAGAAAAAAAGAGAAAGAAAGAAATAGGTATAGAAAAAAAGGAAGAAGAAACAGGTACAAGAAAGAGAAAGAAAGATATAGAAATAGAACGAGAAAGAGATAGCGATAGGGCAAGAGAAGGGTAGAAAAAGCGCTAGACAGAGATAGATATAGAAAAATAAAAAAAGAACAAATAAAACAATTTAATTTACTTTAAACGTTATTATTTTACGCTTTTTATTTGTTAATTTTGATTTCTCATTTATTGATTTGACGTCTAAGAAGTTTTACTTCAACAGCAAATATTAAACAAAAGATTCTATTTTATATGATTATTAGTTTGAAGAAAATTCAATTATTATCATTATTAAGGTTCTTCAAACTAATAATTATATTGAGTCGAATTTTTGCAGTTCAATTATTGCAGTTGAAGTAAAACTTCTTAGGCGTCAAATCGATGAATGAAAAATCAATATTAATAAATAAAAAGCGGAAATTATTAACGTTCAAAGAAAATCCTTTTTATGAAAATTCTATATTGATTTAGTGTTTGCTCTCTTTATTTTTCTATCTCTATCTCTGTCTAGCGCTTTTTCTATACCTCTCTCGCTCTATTGCTATCTCTTTCTCGTTCTATACCTATTTCTGTCTTTCTCTTTTTTCTATACCTATCTCTTTCTCCTTTTCCCAACTCTATCTATTTCTTCCTTTTTCTATTTTTTTTATAATTCTCAATCATCTCAATAAATGAGAAACCAAATTATTATTATTTTTTGTCTATTTTTTTCTTCAGATACAATGACGCCAGTAAAACTTTTTAGGCGTCAAAACAATAAATGAGATATCAAAATTAATAAATAAAAAGCGAAAAATAATAAAGTTTGAAGAAAATTAAATTGTTTTATTATTTGCTTCCTTTATTTTATTCTATCTTTGTCTCTGTGTAGCGCTTTTTCTATACCTCTCTCGCTCTATTGCTATCTCTTTCTCGTTCTATACCTATTTCTGTCTTTCTCTTTTTTCTATACCTATCTCTTTCTCATTTTCCCAACTTGTCTATCTTTTCCTTTCCCTGTTTTTTTATAATTATCAATCAAATCAATAAATGAGAAACCAAACTATTATTATTAACTTCCCGTAGGGTAAGTTATAGTAATCGTCCAAAAATCGAAATCAAAAATTTTTACATTTCTCGACGTTTTGAAGGTTTTTGAACATTTTGGCATACTTCAGAAAAAATGGATGTGTGTGTGTGTGTGTGTGTGTGTGTGTGTTTTGTATGTCCGCTTTTTTTCGTCCACGTTTTCGGGCGCACGGATCAACCGATTTGAATGGTTTAAAAAACATTCGATTCCTATTGATAGGGAGATGTGCTGATTAGTTTTTGGCAAAGGTAGGCCCAGAGGTTTCGGAGTTACAGAGCTAAATTTAAAAAAAATGGCTGTTTTTGAGAGAACTAAGCGTCCGATTTAAATGATTCAAAGAACTTTCTGCTTTTTTCAACAAAACAATTGATTTTGGAAAAAAAAATTTTTTGATTCTAATTTTTTTTCAAAAAAATTTTTTTGTAATTTTGGACTAAAAATTCAAAAAATCACCCAAGCTAAGCACAGTCTAAGCGCCACTCTGGTACAAATGTTTACCCAAGTGCGTTTAGACTGTTTGTGTACTGGAGCACTTTTCCAATTTTGTGAAAATTATTGAAAAATGTGAAAATGCCGCCAAGCTGAGCACAGTATAAGTGAAAATATCGCACAGAATTATTTGCAAATGCGTTTAGACTGTGACTATGCTGGAGCACTTTTTCAATTTTGTGGAAATTTGGCAACTATTTTTTTTTTTTGAAATTTGATTCGAAATGAAATGACGATTGTTAATGTTCTGGAGGTGATAAATTGATTTATTTATAATTAACTTTCCGTAGGGTAAGTTATAGTAATCGCACAAAAATCGAAAATGAAAATTTTTATATAACTTTACGTTTCAAAGGTTTCTGAATATATTGGCATACCTTAGAGAAAATTGATGTATGTGTGTGTATGTGTGTGTGTGCGTGCATTTGTGTGTGTTCAGATACAAATTTTCGTCGACGATTTCGGGAATCGGGATGAAGCAATTTGAATAATTCAAAAACATTTTACTTGCATTATCAAGATGAAGATTTGATGAAATTTTTATGAAATTAGGTCTAGCGGTTTCAGAGATCTAGTAAAAAAAGTAAAAAAAAATAACATTTGGCGGTCAACAATAATCATTAGACATTAGACATATGCACATCAAATTATCAGATATTTTATAAAGATTTTAACAATGAGTATACATTTTGTTAACATTCCTATGGGTTCCGTACCAATGCTTATGCGTTAGACAGCGACGCGGCGCTTACGCGCTTCGATATTTAGTCTCTATGCATTAAAGCAGTACGATTGCTTTGAAAAAAAGTTCAGAATTTCCAAAATATTTCAAAATAAATTTTTCAACAAAAAGTAAGTTTTTGTCAAAAATTTATATAGTTCCTCAAAAATCTATTTTTTTTAGAGTAAATTTTTTTAAAAAATGTTAATCTTTTCAAAAAAAAAATAATTTTTGGTACGGGAAGTTCCAGCAATTTGCCTTAAGGCACGATGCCATGCGCCCCACTAGTTTTTTGTCCATTTTGCTCTTTAGATACAATGACGTCAGTAAAACTTCTTAGGCGTCAAAACAATAAATGAGAAATCAAAATTGATAAATAAAAAGTTAAAAATAAGAACGTGAAGTTATTAAAGCTGTAGAAGATCAATCTAGACATAGACAAAACAAATACAAATTTGTTTATTTATTATTTACCAAATTGGCAAAGTTTGGTACATTTCACAAGTGCACTTATAAATGTTACAAAAAATATCATGATTATTGTTTCGATAACAATAATTTCCTAAATGTCAACTGCTCCTCGTTTTTGTCTTCCTCAAAATTCTGCTCAGTTTGGCAGCAGACGTCTATGTAACTCTGAGGACACGGGTGACTAAAATAAAAAAAAGATACATATATAACTACGTGAATAATCAGGAATTTTTTTTATCGTTCATTACCCGTCGATTATTTTCCCTTTGCAAACCCTCCAGTTCATGCAGACGCAGTCGTCGCCGTCCTTTAATTTGTGAATAAGTCGCTCAGCCGGAGCCCGCACTAAAATGTCGCCTTCTTTGATGACGTCATTGTATCTAAAGAAAAAATAGACAAAAAATATTAATAATTTTTTTTATCATTTATTGATTTATATACATTTATAAAAACAGGAAAAGGAAAAAAAATGAAAAAGGTATAGAAAAAGAGAAAAAAAAGAAATAGGTGCAGAACGAGAAAGATATAGCAATAGAGCGAGAGAGGATAGAAAAAGAGACAGAGATAGAAAAATAAAGAAAGAGCAAACAATAGAAAAATACAGTATTTTCATTAAACGTTAATATTTTCCTTTTTTATTTATTAATTTTGATTTCTCTTATATTGATTTGACGCCGAAGAAGTTTTACTTCAACTACAATAATCGAACAGAAAAGTCTATTCAATATAATTTATTATTAGTTTAAAGAACTGTAATAATCTTATTGATTTTCATGATTATTTCGAACTTATTGAAAATTCTTCAAACTAATAATTCAATTGAATAGAATTTTTTGTTCAATATTTGCTGTTGAAGTAAAACTTCTTAGGCGTCATCAAATCAATAAATGAGTAATCAAAATTAACAAATAAAACACGCAAAATATTAACGTTGAAAGAAAATCCTTTTTATGAAAATTCTGTTTACTCTTTCTTTATTTCACTATCTCTGTCTCTGTCTAGCGCTTTTCTATCGCTCTCTCGCTCTATTGCTATCTCTTTCTCGTTCTATTTCTATATCTTTCTCGTTCTATTTCTTTCTCGTTCTATTTTTGTATTTCTATTTCTTTCTCTTTTTCTTAACTATACCCACTCTGTTTTTTCTTGTTTTTTTAATAATTTTTTTTTATATTTCTATCTATGAGTTTTTCCTATTTATATCTCTATCACTCTGTAATATATTTATTAAATTTTATCTCTCTATAAAAATAAATAAAAAGTAGAAGCATTAAGGTTTGAAGAAAATACTTTTTATGAAATTTTCTTTAATTTTATATGTTCTTTGCTCTTATAACTCTTTTTTTTATCTTTTTCTAACGCTTTTCCTTTACCTATTTTTTTCTATCTCTTCAAATTTTTAAATTTTTTTCATTCCATATCTATTTATCCCATACCTATTTAAGTGTCTTTGGATTCTCTCTCTTTTTCTCTCTCATACTCTTCTATCTCACTCTATCTTATATCTATCTCACTCTATCTATATATCTATCTCACTCTATCACAACACACTAAAACAACACAAAATCATCATAAAAAGGATTTACTTTCAACGTTAATATTTTTCCTATTTTTATTTCTCGGAATCATTCGGAAGGATTCGCTACTGTTTGGTTTTTGTTGTACTTAGGTTCATGAACAAAGTATGTTCTATGAAATACGTAGTCCCTTACGAAACAAATTAGCTTTTTTTTCTCTTCCTATAAATATAAATTTTATAGAAAAAAGGGACTCTACTGACGAGCAAACTGATTTCTGAAAGGATTGTTGTAAATTTGCAAGGAAAAAGGGACTCTACTGACTCTTTCTCTTTCTCTAATACATATATTTCAACCCTTTTATATCTTTCTCTGTCTTTCTGCAATAAATCTATATTTCTTTATATCTATCACTATCTCTTTTT